CAAAAATAAAAAGCAGCACAACTCAACAATGAGAATAGTATTGAACATCAAAACCGCATATTAGTATGATTTCTGAAGGATCATGTGACAGCTTTGCCATCACAGGAATAAATTACATTTTAAAATATATTAAAATAGAAAATAGTTATTGTAAATTGTAATAATATTACTGTTGTACTAGGTTCCTGATCAAATAAATGCAGCCTTGATGTAAATACAAGAGATACTTTTGAATGGTTCTGCTCACCATGAATTTGTGTAGTATGAAAAAGAAATAAACAATTAGCCTACTCATTTTGTGTTCCACAGAAAAAAAGGGTGGGTATAATGACATCATTTTCAGTTTCAAGAAAATTATCTCAGGAAAGTATGACTCGATCGGACTGCCCAAATTATACTTGTACACGGGTCACAAAGTGTATCAGACAAACACTTAAACAACTTCAACCTAAAATAATCATGGAGTTTAAGTGTAAGATAAAATACTTTTAGTTTTAGAAGATACGTTCAAAACACACTTGTCTTTGAAGAAAAGAAAAAAAACACACACACACAAAAAAACACACTTGTCTGTGAGGGGTGGGTGGGGGGAGAGAGATGTTGTGCAGATTGAAACGCACAACCCTCTCTAATCTATCTTTTGGCTTCAGAAGACTTGGAATATAGCACACTACAGGACATCTCAAATCTTGTTTCATGGGAGAGAGAAAACACAAGTTGAACAACATTAAAAGTCTTTCAGACTTCCCCTTGAATATACTAGAGATAACATTAGACATGTCTCTAACACAATACTGGAAATGTGTCAAACAGATAATGAGAGACAGACAGTCAGATAGCCATTCAGTGGTTAGTTAAGGGTTTAAGCACAGCGCTAACTTCCGCAGCTAACCACATCACATTTGAGTCATTATTTCCTCTCATTGTCTAAAGAACCACATATACTTCAAAATGTTTCAATGCAAATCACAGAAAAGCAATGGAAAAAAGGGTCCAACCATTTAAATACAAACGTCAGTATGTTCACTAATGGCTCTTCACATCCATTGCTAATGGGGGCTATAGTGACACGAATCAATACATGCTGTGCTCATGTGTATTTGATCAAAAACACAGCAGACCTTTCATTTATCCCTGTGGATATCATGATGGCCTTGAAATATGATCATCTTACTAAAAAAAGAAAAGTAAAACTGCAAATGCATTATGTTGAATTACAGAGGTGAACGCAAATCATAAGCTTTCATCTGTTGTTTACTGAGATGTTGTGGTTTAGTTGGTTGTAGAATATTTTGGGCATAATTTCTGAGGTGAAGTTGTTTTATGGTATTGATTTTCATATCACCATGATAATTATTACTGTCTACAACTAAACTAAACTGTCAAAATGCAGCTATGACTGAAATTCAAAGCCAAAATTGTCATTTTTTCTTATGAAAGACAGATGTCTAAATGTCTATGAGGAGATCATGAGACAGGAAGTGTTTAGAATAGGCCCCCCTACTCAGGGGGATTTGAATGTCTCTTTTTGTTTGCCATCAGACATTGTAATCGGAGAACATGTCTCTGTCACAGTGGTGATGGAAAGAGAACTTTGCTCATAGTTTTCTACTGACTCATTCGAAGTCTGGATGATCGTTTCTTCAGAACCTGTAGATGTTCCATCTAATGCCCACTGCTCACAGTTGCAATTGTTAACTGTGACATTGTGTGCAAAACCACAGACAGAATGCAGAAAAGATGACATTTCTCACAGCACTCACACACCTATAATAAGGCTGTTTCTTCCATGCTAAAATTGTATGGTGACAGGGACAATAAGAATTTACTAAATATACATTACACCTCTGGCAAGTGCTCATGGCATATGGGCTTCAGCCAGATGCAGGTGACCTAAATCCTAGACAGTCGGCTGGATCGGTCACAGACAGAGGCCTCCCTGCTGGAAGTACGAAACAGCATTTAAATTTTTCCAAAGCAGTGAACGTGGTGTGTCTGCAGCACCAGTCTGTACCTCATTAAACAGTTATAAAAATACATCTAAATTTAGGCTACTTTTTAAATTTTGTTGTGAACATATGATCAAATCATTAGCTGATTTCCCATAAGGAAATGGCAGACATATGAATGTACACTGCTACCATGAAAGCTAAGCACATAGACAATCTCTATGGGCTTTAATAAAGTCTATTTGTTGTGGTTACGAGAAGCCACATAAATGTGGACTGTTGAAACAGCTTGTAAAATTCAGTGTTGACTATCTGTCAAAGTCATTTTCTGAAAACATACAAGACAATGTGCATAAAAGTCACAAACATTATTACTCCAGTCTTCAGTGTTACGTGATCCTTCAGAAATCATTCAAATATGATCTGATTTGTTGCTCTAGTAACATTTCTTATCAGTGTTGAAATCAGCTGTGCTGTTAAATATTTTTGTGAAAAAAAATTCATTACATTACAAATGTCTTTATTGTCACTTTTGATCAATTTAATGCACATTTACTTATGTAATTAGAGCCAGACCGGTATTATCGGACGATATTGGGCATTTTCCAAACAATCGGTATCGGCAGTTATAATGGCCGTTATACCATGGTCTGGGTGAATACTCGATTCTGATTGGCTGCAGGGTGTCCGTTAAAAAGTGATAGAGGACACCTAGTAAAGTAGTTCTGGTGAAAATGCCTGTTTACCATTTGAAATTAATAAATAAATGCACTGCCCACAACAGCTGTGAGTAACCATAGCAACAGGCATTTAAAGTATCCGTTAACAATTTGCTCTATCAAAACAAACATCTAACGTTAGTTAGATATTACATAGCCTACTAATACAACAATTAGCGACTTCGTTATTTCTTTTAACATTTATGGAGAATATGACAACTTTGACGACTGGGATGCTGCTGAAGAAAGAAAAAATGTAAATAAAACGGAGAAACGTCACAAAGAAAATTCCACCACTGCTGCTCTGAATGAGACAATGCGGGAGTTTTACGCAGCAGTCCAGACAACCAAGGCAGGAGGAGAGTACAGCGTTTCAAGCCTAAGAAGCCTGTTTGATTAATTGTTTTATGTGTAAAAAAAAATAAAAAAATAACTATGCTTACCTTTGTGTTTCATGAAAAAAAAACGCATTTTTGAACCTGAAGGGTTCTACAAGCTGAGCGGACTATAAATATCTCCGGTTGCTAAATAAACCACGCGAGTTATTATTTGTAAAAACTAGATTTAGCCTAATTAAAATATAAACTAGCAGCTAATTTTTTAAAAATGTTTTATTTGGCAAGTGACCATGGTATAAGCGGGTTAATGCCCTTCGAGGTGTCCATTGTCAGGTTTTAATGGACTTCGCGTCGGCCGGTTAACGCCTCGCCGTCGTCCATTAAAACCTGACAATGGACACCTCGTCGGGCATTAACCCTTACATAAATGAATATTTCAAAAATAAAATAAAAACGGACGAAGAAACACGCTTCAACCATGTCATGAGTGTTGGAGTAGTATAGTTTGTCCACCAGAGGGCATTCTACACCGTCCCTGTTGGCAACACTCATTGAGTTGGTCACGAGACATACATTGCTTGAATAACAATTAAAAGAACATCCCCATCAGTTCTCTTAACTCGAATAAGCATGACAAAAATTGTGACTATCATGTCCACTTTAAAATAAATCAATAAATAAATAACATATCGGCCGATATATCGGAATAGCGGATTTTAAAACCCAAAAATATTTGTATCGGTATCGGCCTTCAAAATCCTTTATGGGTCGGGCTCAAGTATTAATTGAATAAATGTATTAATTTCTTACTGGTCCTAAACTTTTGAACTGTGTTGTATATTTGATCATTTTTAGTCATTTCAAAATGAAGTCTTTCCTCTGGGTTCGACTGTTTCGTTTAAATCATGATGACTACTACACTTTGCATAAGTACATGATGTAACTGCAATGAAATTTAGAGAACACAGTACAAAAAAGAAATATTACAAGCAATCCGGTCTTAAAGAAAAAAAAGTCTTGATTGAAAAATTCATGTTAAGTGATCATTGCAAGCTATGCAAGACCTACATTATAAAGCTAGTGGCTCCATTAAAAAAGGGAGTCTATCTAAAAAAATAATCTCAACCTAGAATTTGAGAGCCTAAAGTCTCACATGTATCTGCAAATGATAATAAGCGTCATAAATATTCAAGCAGTTAATCGAACAGCAGAAGGTGTGATTGCTGCACTTCCCACATCCTCTGAGGGTGTTATTTGCATTCTGGAGCATCATGATGAAAATGATAAACGAGTCTCATCATGATTCCCGATGAAAAATAAATATGCACCTTTTGATCTGAAAAAAAGTGACTTTTGTTTTATAATACACAATCAAGCACATTATAACCAAACAGATGTGGGGCACCATTGGCTTCCATAGTATTTTTTTTCTACTATATAAATAAATGGTGCCAAACAACTGATTGGTTCCAATCGATCTTCAAAATATCTTCCTTTGTGTTCAGCAGAGGAAAGAAACTCATACAGGTTTGAAACAACACTAGGGCGAGTAAATGATGACAGAATTTTCATTTTTGGGTGGAGTACGTGTCAGAAATGTGTCACTAAGCTAGAATGCACCACTCTCTAAACAATAACATCCATGCTCAAATCAATGCACAACAATTGACTGAATGATTGCATTCCAGTCAACCTTGCAAACAATTCAGTACGTCAATAGTTTCAGTCTTTGTCATCGTATGTGGCTGATTTACAGACCAGAGGAAAAACACACACAACACTACAGCAACAGCTCAACCCCATGTGACTCAGCAGTCTGATGAAACCAGAACAGCCAGTGAATTTGTGGCACTTCAATGCAAACAAATCAGTCAAGCAAAGCAAACTTCTGAGAGCAAATGACCCTGCTATGTTCAATGCCCACTGATCTAGCTGAACACAGTTTCATGCATATTTCAAAGATGATACAAATAAATAAATGAGTAAATGATTACCCTTCTGAACATGGATGATATCAGGGTAGTTGGTAAGGTGTCCTTGGTACAGGGCTAACAAATCCATCACAGGGTCCACGTCCTGTTTAGGCTGCTCCACAAAGTAGTCTCCAATAACTTCGTAAGCTTCTCCTGTGTACGCAATTGCTTGGTTCAAACCGACCGAGTATGACTGCTGGTCCATCTCAAATGCTTGACTTAGATACTTAAAAGACTGTCCCACTTTCTGATACTCTTTCTTGAACCCAGCTATCTGCTTCCTTGCAAATTCGTTAAGCGTGGCATTGACTTGGATCACGCTGTCATCCATTTTCTTGGAGAAGGCCTTGAATCCATCAATCCTGTTTTCGACGTCTTGCAGGTCAAGAGGGGCTGCTGGAGTGCTGATGGTGAGGAAGAAATTAGCACCGACCATCTCATCCTTCTCTGCTTTTCTCTTCCCTTGCTTCCAAGACTTTTCGTCTGTGCTGGAGCAGGTGAGGAAGTGCTGGAAAACATCACACCGGGCCAGTACAGGGTGGCTGGTCATATGATTCATCCACCATAACAGCCCTCTTCTCCTTTTAGAAATGAAGTCTTCTTCAAAGCGACCGGTGGCTTGTTTTTCAGGAATATGTGGCACTGAAATGACAGGAAATTTCTCCACTAACCGTGCATAGAGCCAATCAAAATGCTTATATCTTCTGTTGACCTGACTCTGCGTGTGGGTTGCCGTCAGCTTGTAGGAAATGTAACTTTTCATGCCTTTGAACTTCGTTTGCTTGGTGGGATCATCAATAGTGCAAGTGAATGGGTAAGGGTTTTCCTGCCACTCTGGACCGTACTGACCCATTACCACACAAATTTTATCCCCATCCTTCACAAAGCCGGATGCTTCCCCCAGGACGAATGCCTCACCGCCTGACTTCACAAAAGTGGAGAACCTGTTCAGATTTCTGCTGACCGTGGCTGAACTTTTGCCTTGCTGTACACCTCTAGGCATGGAGGATGTGGAGATGCTGTAGCTAGAGGGTCCGTTACCTTCATAATTCCCGTATCCTCCACTAACAATCCCTGGTTCGTCAGCAACGGACGAGTGATCGTCCCAGTCATCATCCCAATCATCATCACTGGCTGGGGTCCCTGGATGTTGTTGTTGAGGTAGAGCAGGGTAGGCAGTGAAGCTGGGTGCTGATGGTGCACTGTTGTAGCTCTCTTGAGTCTGTTTTTTTAAGTCAAAACCACCAGTGGGAATGTTGGCATATCGAGAGTTGTTGTTAAAAGACGAGACGGTGTCATTCCTCAATACCTCGACGTAGGACGCAGGGAGAAGCCCCCTATCCCCTCTACTGTTCGCCCCCTCCAGCCAGCCCTCAATGTCCTGCTCGCTGTACAGAGTTACAATCTCGTGCTCCTTCACTGATATCTCCCCCGGATTTTCTGAATTGAAGTCATACAGAGCTCTCGCTCGCAGAGCCATGACACAAAATATATACAAGCTTCGATGAATTTAAAATCGTATAAGGCTAGCGTATCAGCTAGCTAACTCTAACCCAAACTCACTCACTAACCTGCGAGACTGACAACAACTTGCGCGTCAGCTGCGGGAACCGTAAACTCTCTATCTATCTCCAGAGTCCTCCTCACACCGCTTAATGATAACGTGATTATCAGCTGTCGTGTTCAAAATTCCCAGAGTGGTGGGCAGAATAATTTCTTCATCCGTGGAATTCACCATCCAGAGCCGCTGTGCTGTACGCCCGTCCGACACCGACCGCAGTATCACTCACCCTAAACAGCGCCGAGGAGAGCACAACCAGTACGGGTAGTCGAGGGCGGAGCTTAGCACCAGGCAGCACGAATCAAATACATTACATAGTGAGGACTTCTGATTTTCGCAAATCGTCTCTTTTGAACTGTTCAATAAAAAAATTGTAGTGATTCTTTTACATCAACATCACGTGGTATATTATATTAAATTACCAGAAAAGCCACGTGTAAATTTACTGGAGGAAGACTATCTAGCAACTCCAGGACTAAATTGAGCCTTAAATGAAAGCTACCATGGCATGGGGAGGCAGGTTTAACTTCAGATTAACGTTGTTTCAAAGAAGAGAAGACACATGCATTACTTGTACTATGTCATTGAAGATCAACACATGCGTGCGTCTGTGTGTATATTATGTGTGCGTGCGTCTCTCTCTCTCTGTGTGTGTGTGTGTGTGTGTATTAAGTGTGCATGTGTCGTGTGTGTGTGTCGTGTGTGTGTCTTTTACAGTCTATGGTGTGTGTGGGGGTATACTTTTAAACAAATATGAAACTAAACTACCGTTAGGTGGCGGCAAGCGACCGTCTTGAGTTAGACATTGAGTCACTCATTCAAACGATTCGTTCAAACGCTAAAATCATTCAGATTATTAATTAACTAGTTAGTTTAATACTTGCTTATTGAACTGTTGAATGAAATCAGTGCCACGTTTTCAATCGTGATGGTATTCAGGACATCTGCACTCTTCGTGTGATGTTGCTCTGTGTATATGTTAATTATAATATAAAAAACTCAACATTTATTTATGTGAACCTTCAAATGGTCTTCGTTTCCTGTTTACACTTCTGGGCTTCGGGGTCATGACCCCGACAATTGATTGAGTAATTTTATACATTTTTAATCATACAAATAATATATCATTTTTTTGTTTACTTCTCATCTATTCATTAAAGCTGTGTTTTTGATGATAGTACCTCTGTATTCATATACCACACAATTCCTCAACTACACCATAGCTTGGATTTGAAATATTATATTTTATGATACATTGCATTTATGCTCTAGTACTAACTAAGCCCTCATTTCAGTGTAAACATTTTCAGATTTATGCTGGATTTTTACATTAAAGTATACTAATTTATTTCTGTGTAATAAATACTGTATCACATCACACGACTGGCGTAATGATGCTGAACATTCAACATTGCATCACAGGACAGACACACACACACATATTCCTATCAATCACCACTTAGACTACAATAAATTAAATAAAATCTGAATCACTCTTGTGATATGAGGAGTCCCTAATAATGTTTTTGTTATTTACATTTTAATCCCCAGACAGCAACATCCAGCCCAGAGGCCGGCCCACATCTGGTACACGTTGATTCCATGTACCAGCTGGGCCGATATGTTGCTGTCTGGGAGGCTACTTCTAGTCAGGCAAGTCAAAAAAAAAGTGTCACCTGAATTAAAAAAATCTACTTGGATAAGCAATATAATGTCGAGCCCTGCATAAACCATAGGCTACAAAACTCAAGCTGAAAGTTTTGCAAACTTTAATAAAATGCTATATTAAATCAATATCTTAGGCTACTCCATTAGTGAAATTCTCCATTCCAAATCAGGTTATTGAATGTAATTTAAAACAGGGACATCACGTTTTGGTTTTAAATCTGTTTTGAGTTATTTATTTTCTTTTTATTTATTTATTTATTTATTTAAATTTTTTTTTTTTTTGGGGGGGGGGTATATCGTAATTATAATAATTATTTCATTCCTAAATTTTATTTTTTCATGAAACCAACAACTTTCCCCGTAAACATTATAATTACGCCACTTCCTGTTTAATTTCCCGCGCCCTCGTGTGAAGGGTCAAGGGGATGCAGCCGTTCAGAGTCAGACCGTTGCAGCTCTTCAAGAAAACGACGACGTTAAGGTAAATTATTTGATTTATCAAACATAGTTATCCTTCTTCAAGTAAGAATGCCTCGGTTTATGATCAATTCAGTTTCATGACATCGGAATTTTTTTTTTAATCAGTGCACTGCACTCTCTTTTAAAGTGAAAGTTTTATTTCGTTCTAATTGGTTACCGTTAAAAATCCCGATGAACGTAGACAGAACGTAAAATACTGTTTATGCCTTACTGCTTAACGAAACGAAATCCCTGCTTCAATTGTGCTATTATTGGTTCTCGGCTTATTACGAAAAGGTCTTAGCCGAAAGAGCCTCACGACTTAGATTCAGTTTGTGCGTTGGGAATAGGTTCAACCGATTCATTGAAAAATCCGATTCAATAGAAAGATTAGTTCACAATTCCGACATTGATATATTCAAGACGCTTTCTTCATCTACATTCATTTATACCAGTGCTACGATTAAAATACAATATGACACAGACAAGACGCCTTACCCATGATTAAAGACTTTATGGTTTTTATTATGATGGGACACCCTTCTATGACTATTTGTGTGCTTAAAGGTACAATAAACATTTTGTAATAAAATAACCAAAAATCACTTGCACAATGTGCTATATTTCCTGCACTTGTGTACTTACAATATCCCAAAATTCTCCAAAAATTGTGGCCGTCCCAGAAAAAAACGTCGCCAGTCAATGACGCAATATCCGCGCTATCCTACATTTCGTTCATACTGCCATAGCCATGACGTAACCATGGTGAAAGATGTAGACAACTGCACAGTGCGTAACATTTAACGGCACGCACTGCACATTCTACGCGTTTTAGGCGCTATAGACCCTTTTACAGTTGGTAAACATGGTGACGTTTTTTTTGTGTGGGCGGAGCTTAGGTGGAGGCAGAAAAATCCATCTGGCCGCTTCACTAACGCTAGTTAGCAAGGATTGTTAGCTTGTTTTTTAACAATGACTGGAGAAAATCCGATATTATCTTAATGAGTAAGGTCACTCAGTGTCCAGGACCGCGATTGTTATTTTCAAAAGTTATTTTTAACGGACGGAACCAGATTGGCCGACCCGTAGCCGCCTACATGCTCACTCAATGCATGGATGATCTGACAGGATTAACGTACGTTACCTCGGTTGAGTGGCCTGACTTCTACACCTACCTTACAGAGAGAAACCGATCGTAAATAGAAACTGAGGGCATATAAATCTTTAGATGCCTATATGGTCCTGTACAAGACTTGTGTGTACGATCCGCAGTTCTGCCGAGCCAGCGCCGAGACCACGACAATGTAAAGAGTGACATTACAGTGCGATTTTATGTGAATTTTCTAGAAATAAAAGTTCCAGATACAGCATATTCATTTTTCATTAATTCTTGCACCAAACAACACAACAAGATGACATTTAATAATAATAACAATTATTAAAGCTCCTTATTATGTAGCTGAATCTGTGCTGTTTTGCATTGGCCGCCTGCAGTTTTCACTTTGTTTTGCCTCCAGCTAGCGCCGTGACGTAACTGTGACGTCGGCGCAAAAGGGGTCTATATGTGAATCCGGCCTTAGACAGGTGAGCAAATGTACATAAAACAAAATAAATTTTACGTTTGCTCAACATGATGAAATGTTAGAATATGGTCAGTATGTTATTCTAATGTTGATCTAGCTTACTACTAGTTCCATATAGCAAACAAACTAACATGTAGTATAACATTATAATTTTCAACACATTTAAATGCTGTTTAGTGTGATGATGTAACGTTAGACCAAAGGGAAGCAGCACTCCGTTACCTCACAAGTTTAAATTTGTCTAATAAATTGATCTGTGTGAGTAATTCAGCACTTGCAGGTAATTCGGTAGAATTAAATATCCTTATTTTTTTATATCTGTGGGACTCACGCTGATATCTGCCTCTTTAGAAATCGCGACCTGCTTCATACCACTGTAATGTTAAAAAACAAGAATGTTTGCACTCACCCATAAACATTATTAGATCCATCTGCATGACAGCAAAACCCATCATTTAGCTCATCACTGTGTCATCAACCTACACCTTTGTTATTGTTGGAAACTGCACTCTCTTGTGGCATAAAAAACCTACATATTGTGCCTTCAACAGCTTTTGACCATTTTTTTTCCCAAAACAGATAGACCACATTATGATAGTGGAATGCAGACAGCGTTTTTCCCATGTGGCATAATGAGTCAGGTAAGCTTAATCACATTCCTGCAAGGGGACTGTTTTTGTAGTTGATGCCGATTTTAATTACTCTAGGTTACAAGATTTTTTTGGAGAAATTTATATGAGAGGCTTGTTTTATTTATTAGAAAATACATTTTTGCTGGTAAGCAACTAAGCATTAGGCAGGCAAATAAGCTGAAGGTTGTTAAATGTCTGCAGACATGCAGAACAAAGCAATTCTGTCTTATAACAGCAATCAAAGTAACTGATATAAAACAACAAAAACAACTACTAACACAGCCCATGTTTAATCATGTCATGATGAATGTTGTTAAGTCATTGCATTTTCCTTATCACACGCTGGCCACCATTGGTCCTTGGTTTCCACCACTAGTATCCCATCATGACACAGCATGGCTTTGAGGTCCCCCGCCTGGAGTTGACAGTCAGGCAGCTGATACTGTCTAGTGAAACTCCTCGACACAAACCCATGCTCGTCCATCCTCACCCCATGCCGACCTCTGATTAACAGCCACCCCTCAAAGACTTGTATGAGGAGGTCTTCTGGTTTAAATTGAGTCACGTCCAGCAGGATTTGAAACACTGGCTCTCCTGAGTCCTCGTCCCCACTGTCTGCTTGACTCCCCTCAGTGTCCATTTTAACCGGTAGACATTCAGGTCCCGGCAGGGCAAATAGTCGGTGATCTTCAGTGCATTCATTGAGATTCCTTGTTTTAAAGTGCTCCTGGTAGCGCACAGGGCTTGATATCCAGTGGGAAATAGTGATCCCCTCTCTTTCCATGACACTGGGTGTAGAGGTTACCTTGCCTTTTTTGCTAGTGAATGTGACGTAGCGCGATGCCGTTAGAACCAACCAAAGCTATAAAAAGACAGTCCTCTGCTTAGGTTTCTGGGCATGGGATGGGGCGGACCATTTTAGAATAGGCAAAGAGAACTGATATGTTCACTTTAGTATGTAGAAGGCTTGTACTCAACAAGCATGACATAATGTGTTGAAAAGTTTGGAGACATTTTTATACCGTATACAGTGACAATAAAGACTTTAGCTGTTTTGAACTTTCTGTGTAGTCTGTTTTCAACATTGATAATAATTAGAACTCTTGAGCACCAAATCAGCAAAATAGAATAAATTCTGAAGGATCATGTGACAGTGTCACTGAGTAATAATTTTCAACTTTTCCAACTCAACATTTCCATCACAGGAATAAAATATATTTTCAAATATATTCTAAAGGATACATAAATGCTACCGAATAGTAGCAAACACAAAACTCATTTTAAATAAATGTATTCAGATTTTATTTGCCACATAAAAATATTATGCCTTGACATTAATTTGGGTTGCATATACACCTTAGTTTTTCTTCTGAAGTATGACAGTTTATGAACAGATGTGAATAATGAAACAATACTGCCCCCTTGTGGATATTTATTAGGAGTATACACTACGTGGCACATAAAAAGCCTTTATTTAATCATGACTTAGGCTATTAAAATCAATTCACCTTAATCAGGGTGTGGGTATCAAAACACAGTTCTTTTAAACAACAATTAATTAGTCACTAATTAACTAATTAATTAGTTAATCAGTCACCTGTTTACTTAATGTGGAATAGTCACAGGAGAGAAGACATTTTTTAGATAATTAATGATATAGAGAGGACATATCTGACTAGAACATAACCAAACACAAAATATTCCATAACATGTCCATAACGATGTTTTTAGTGTTTTAGATTTGAATGCTTGCTTGGTTATACACTGCTGTTCAAAAGTTTGGGGTTGGTAAGGTGTTTTTTAAAGAAGTCTCTAATGCTTGTTTTTATTACAAAAATACACAAATAATGTTAAATACCACTACAGCTTAAAATAGGTGGTTTCTAAATTATTTATTTGAAAAGTAATTTATACCTGTGATGTCAGTTTTTTTAGGGTTCTTTAATAAATAGAGCTCAAAAGAACACCATTTATTTGAAATAAAAACAGTCACTGTCTTGTAACAGTGACTGTAAATACTGCTTCTTTTGATCAAATGAATCTGTCCTTGCTGAATAAAAGTCATAATAAAAAACAAAACAAACGGTACTAACATGTACTTCATGTTCAAATAAATAATCAAATAATAAACCTCACATTTCAGACTTTAAACTTTAAAAATTTTAAGAAAAGGGATCAATGATAAATGGTTTATAGGTATTTTATCTTCTCTTTGAAGAGTTTTAGATACATTATTTGAATTTATATTTTTAGAATATGCATCAGCTTATTTTCAACCAACAATGGGGGATAAAAATTTGGTTTGATTACGAATTTGTTTACCTGGCGACCATTTGAGACCATAACAATGCTTTGATAATATTATCAGCTTCCCACAATCCGGAGTTTTTCTGTCACTGAGTGAGAGTACACAATCAGCATTATTATCATGTTCATGATCATTAACACTTTCTTTACATTATTACATAACTCCTCAAAACATACAAAGTCATAATTTTCCTTTTTGTCTGATTTTTTCAAGGTTGTAGATGTGATTTATTTAAATCAAACTTTATTTTAACCATTTTTTAATCATCATTTTTCTGTAGAATTCATTGTGTGCAGGTGTGTAAAAGTAACTAATCCAATTAGCAGTTTTATTGTGCAGTACGAGTCACTGAGCTGATAATCTCTTGAGACTGCGCTCTCCTAATCTCTTTTAGACAACAAGTCTCTCTCTCTCTCTCCCTGAGTATTCACCCACCTCTAGTTTATGTTTATGAATGGGGAATGAACAGAACTGGTTCCTCTTTTCTCCATCCTTTCATTTGAAGGACCATTGAATCTCTGTCTTCGTATAGTATCTTTCTGTGTTCCCTCTTCAAAGCCGTCCTCCACCTGGCTTCGTTCAGTTACTCTGGCTTGGCTTGTTTGTTGTCTGGGGTAACGCTGTTGCTGGGGACGATGTCAGAACACATTCGGCTCTCAATAGCCCTGTGTAGGATTGGCTTTTATACGGTAAGCCAAGCACATGTCTCCATATTTTGCTGTACATTTTATGCATGCACATGTTGGTGCATTTTTTTATGATTTTAGTTATTTGAATCTTTGTTCAAACATATTTTGGTGGAATTATGTTCTGTTATAATATCTTACAGGCTACAGGTGGCATTCTTAACAAAATACACAATCTGAACACTGCTGTAGTTCTCCCATGTAGATCTACATGTATGATTACAATAGCTGGAATCATAGTCTGTGTCTGACAGCTTTCATGAGCTAGTAGCAAATCAAAAATGATTAAACTGTGGTGAAATATAGCACTTGTTCTTGATCCCCAGTGAGTGGTGTGGCAGGTGTTTTTGATTGTTAACCCTCGAGTTAAGTTCTGTGATTTTATGCAAGAAGTCAAAGGGTAACCTTATACAGTAGGAAAAAAAGCTGTAAAAAGCTCAAAGCTGTAATCCTATTGTAACATGTTCTTTGTTATGACTTGGTATTTTTTTTTCTACTCTTCCAGTTTAACAGTTTCTATTGAGATGATGTTTTATCTCAATATTAGAAATGTAAAAATAACTTTAGTTCGATTTAGTTTCTTGATGAAGTTTCTTGATGAAGTTTTTTTTATTTGGTAGCAGGTTTTCCGTTGTCTGGTAATTACCGGACATTGGCCGGGAAAAATATGAAATGTCTGACAAGATTAAGGGCTCTATCTTGCACCCGGCGCAAATGACTTTATACACAAACGCATGTGTCATTCCTATTTTGCACGCGCGCAAAGCGGGATTTTTCCCTCAAAAGACGCACGTCGGTAAACTAGCAAATGAACTTGCGCTCCCTGGGCGGATCGGCGCAAAAAGGAGGCGTGTTTCGGCGCAAACATTCCCTGGTGCTATTTTTGCACTTCCAGAAAACAATTGCGCCACTGATCAGAAAAAACCTGGTCTAAAGTCAGAGGCGCATTGCGCGTTGTTCATAATGCTATTTTAAGTGTGCATGCTTGGCCATAAAGTAGCGGGTGCATAACGCGCATACACTTTGATTCTCTCATCAACACAGATGCAGCAGTTTTTATTTTTGCTAATCATACTTCATACATTATAACAAGGAAAAATATTAACACATGAGGGAAATCACTGTGGTTTACATGAAGATGAAAAAAACCTTATTACCCATTTTTTAAGGCTAATTGTACTCGTAGGCTACTAAAGGATCAGACCTGTTTGCCCTCTACTGGCAAGAAACATACGTATATAATGTTTAACCGACGCTGATGTGCGAGGGTTTCTCCCATCCCCATACAACGTCACTTCTCTATCTTTTCACTGCCCTGACAAGAACGTCGGTCTCACCGGCTGTGAACGCTCCTGGCGCGCGCCTGGTAAACCGGCCGTTATAATAACAATCCGTCATGCAACATGCGCACCTGTTCTTAAAGGTTATGTTGGATGGCGCTCTGATTGGTTTATTTCACGTTACGCCCAAACCACACCTATGAATATTGAAGCTACTTCAGACCAACCCCTTTTAGATTTGCGCCAGGAGCAAGAGGCATTTATCCCGCCGGGAAAATAGCAACAGCGCCGGGATCTGCCCACAAAGTTACTTGCGCTTTGCGCTTTGACACTTTCAGATCGTTAAAATAGGGCCCTATATCTCTCCGGTCAAATTGTCTGATTAAAATTGCGCAATAATCCCGCCCCCCCTAACATTATATGAATTTGAGAATAACAAGCCTAAAATATATAAAGCAAAAATACACATAAAACGGCTATAATATAGGCGAATGTGAGAGGTTTCAAATAGGGCTGCACGATTTGGGCCAAAATGATAATCACGATTACTTTGATCAATATTGAGATCACGATTAATTATCATGATTATTTGTTGATTTTAACCAAAACTAATTTTATTGTCACATAGGCTAATTATAACTGCTTTCACATCCATATTGTGCTACATTCTTGCTAATACAACTATGTGCATTAAAATAAAACAGGTGCTCTCATTCACCAAAATTCAGTGCATCTCTTTAAAGAATTAATAAAAATAAAGAAAACAATAAATAAAATGTAGCAAAACTTCAACAGGGCACTATTTTACACTTTACATTGTGTAAATATATTTTAGGTAGCAAAATATAAACTTGCATTGTATCTGCATGGATGTGAATAAAACGTGCAAAATACAATCAATAAAAAACAAACATGTCATGGCAGAACTGCACTATGGAAGTTCGATTAATGGATGAAATTCAGAGTCATTGTTATTTGACACTTAAGAAATGTAAAATGTGTCAGTGATTAGTTGTGAAAGCTTACCGCATACATTTAATGTATTTAATCCTCCATATGAAAGTTTATGTGGTCGAATTATTTCTATTTATTAAACAATAGTTCAAAACAAGATGTTATGTACCAATTTACTAATGCTCACACTTGGTCTCTCACGCGCACTGTCACTCAGTCTCAGACACAACCGGTATCTCTCGCGTGCTGTCGCTCCGTTCGCTCGCACGCAGACACACTCGAGGTGTTTCTCAACGTCAAGGAAGGATCCGAGGTTGCTTTCACAACCTCGGAAGCCGTAATTTCGAGGATGCTATCCTTCGCGCACTTTTGAGAGTGCTTGGGCACTCGTCTCTCTTGTTCACTGTAGCTCGCGCGCAGACACACTCAGTCTCTCTTGCGCACTGGAGCTTGTGGAGGCACGTGATCAGACTGGTTTACGGAGCGCTAGATTGACGACATGGCTATTATCTATCTACCAACAAACATTTAATTGAATTAACATATCCAATATGTAAAACAGTAGCCAATAGGCTAACGTTACTATAAAGACGCTGGCTTGTAAGCGTGAGCTATGCGATCTTTTGACGTTTGAAAA